AAAAAAAAAAAAAAAAAAAAGCAAGCAAAATAAAGCATAATCAACAAATGTATGATAAAAGTAAAGAGAAAGATAGGAACAAAATTCAGACAACTGTTTTATGCGCCACCTTATATGACATAAAAAAAAAAAAAAAACGTCCTTTCCTTTTTTTTTTTTACGTTTTGATATTTTTTTTTTTCACATCCGTTTGTACGAGTCTACATGTGCATATTTTTTCCGTTGATATTCTTACACTTGTACATGTATGTTTCGTATGCATGGTATTTGTACGCTTGTTAATGAGCTACTTGTGTGCCAGTCAAGCATCACTCAGTGCTCGCGAACCAATTGTGTACTGCGCGCATTTGTCTATTTGTTATATGTAAAACGGAACGAATGGGCCATTTTGTAATTCCTTCGTGGATGGCCTCCCTTTTTTGAACGTTGTACCGATATATGACCAAATCTACGAACGCATTTTTTTTTTTTGTGTGCCCCATTTTGATGGCCCCTTTTCCGGTAACGCGGCGCCCCCATTTATGCGTTAAAAAAATAGCCACACGTGGGATGCCTGCTGAATGCATGTATGCATACGTATAAATATATATACACATATACACATATATATATATGCATATATGTATGAATACATTGGTGCATGTGCCCCGCGCACCGAGTGATGCCACACTTTTTTACATTTGCGAAAATAACTTGCCGCTCCGTCAACGTCGCAGAACGGGCCAGTGTTTTCCCAACCGCCGGTGTATACATCACCGCGCATACGTATGCCGCCTATTAGCACGCGTGTACAGGCACCCATAACCACATCGACTTTGTTTTGTTCCGTTTGTTTCCCCTTTGCATTTTCTGTTAAACGAGATTGTATTTAATATTCGAACGAAATTTTGAACCAAAAAGCGCTGAGAAGTGGCACATTTTTTACCCAGCGTTGCCACATTTACAAACTCCATTATCCGTGGCAAATTTTCGCACCGCTACATTTTCCGTTTTTTACATGTATTTTACATTTTTTCCAAACAAAACTGTGGCTGCATAAATTTACTACTGCACGGTATTTTTTTTTTTGTTATATACAATTATTTTTACTTTATTTTGTTTTTATTTATTTCATTTTTTTTTTTATACTTTTTGGGGAACCCCTTCAGTTGGTTCATTTGCTATTGTAAAAAATTTGATAGCTTCCGCGCATGCTTTTTTTATTTGTTTCCCCTATTTTTGCTGTTATTTTTTTTATATAATACACCGAAGAGCAGAGAACATAAAAAAGAAAATAAATACCTGCAAAGCAAGTAGCGAGAAAAAAAAGCACGGAATTGTGATAATAATATATAGCTGAGAAACAGCGGCCAAGTCCACGCGTAGCAGTGCATAAACAAAAAAAAAAAATACACAAGTGCAAATTAAACGACAGTGGGTCCACAGGCGCTACATGAGATACATATATATCCTACAATACGACGTGATGCATGCCGCATGTTATTATATATGTGCATATTATAAGGAGCGTATGCGAGAAATACGTATTTATATTTCCAGCGCCGTATTTATAAATACGGCGGGGAATGCAAAAACACATGTATGCATTTCTAAATATATATATGTATTATGTTTGGTTTATATATGTCACAAGCTAATACGCACAAATTAATACCTCAAGGTATTATAATACATATATACATGTGAACAATCGAACAATCGAGTGAGCGGGTCATAATAATATATATATATTTATGTGACATTGTACAATTTGTATTTTGGCCTAATTAATTTTATATATGAATGAGCGTATCCCTGAAAATATATTTATATACCTTTCTGTTTTATTTTTTATTTTTCGAAAGATATATTTTTTTTCTATGCTTGTCATTTTTTCTTGTTTTTAAGATATGTACCACATATGTATTTTATTACATAAGTATGTTTACATGAGTTGTGAGAATATATGTCATGTATTTATATATGTATAATCCCTAACCCTGACCCCCTTGTTATGTATACATTAGTGTATACAATATTGTACATACATTTCTTTAATGTACTAAGTGAGATAAATCTACATAAACACCTCATTTGAAGTTTTTCACTCTTATATATATATTTTTTTTTTTTTTTTTTTTTTTGTTTCTCCAGTACCATTATATGAGTAACTGGGAATACATGTCATGCATTTAATATATATTTATAGAAAATTTCCCCTTATTTTTGTTGTCACCCCTTTTTTTTGCGTGCCCCAAAATTTGTATGAACCAGCAAGAGGCTAGCTTAGCAGCGTATGCATGGCTTAGTCGTACGTATATACATATGCATATGCCTACATATATACGTAATATATATGTATACATATGTATATGTACGTATGTACCTTAACGTGGTGTACCCTTGGCACCTCGCTGTTTGTCGCAGCCGAGATAACCCACGGTATCATTCATTTTTGTATGCGCGCGAACAAGTGGCGACAACACACCCGCAGTGTTCGCCGCGTAATTATAAGCATATTTTATAGTGTGTACGTCCGCTAACCTCAGGCATACATTTTTTTTGCCAACTACGTAGAAGAAAAAAATACGTGTGTGGAAAAACGATACCCCTCTCTTTTTTTCCGAGGCACTTGACAAAAATATTATACGTACGAAAAAACTGAATTTTTTTTTTTTTTTTTTATGTTTTGAGAATACCTTCTAATATTGTAATTATTTTTGTGTGAGTCTTGCGTCATGTGGAGTTATACGGATGCCGGCACGGCATGCAATAATGCATAGTACGCAGTAGAGTGGCATGATATATATGTTATGAGACCGGCACGCGCCGTCGTTTCTCGTAAAGATACAAGAGATGTGCCACACGTGTAGTGTATAAAAACTACCCGGAAGTATTTGTTTATTTCCGTTTTCTATTTTTTGCACGCCCTCTGAATGAGTTAAGAAGTAGCTGTGTGCCCTAACCTCTGCCTGCGTGTTCGGACTGTATGAGAAATGTTTGAACGTTTTTTAAACCCGTTTTTTTAAATATTATTTTTGTATGTACAATTAAAGCACCTATTTTCCCGCTGTTTCGTATTCCCACTTTTTTTTTTTTTTTTTCCTTTTTCCCCATTTTGTGCCTTTTTCTTTTTTTTTTTTTTCTTACGCAATTTTGCGTCCTTCAGCGTTGTAGTCTTTTTTAAATTCGCTTACAAAAAAAAAAAAAATAAATAAAAATAAAAAAATAACCATCCGCATACCATGAGTAATTAATCCTTATATTGCATAGAACATTTGTGAAGTTATGTGTGTTTTTGTAACACGTGTGCCTTGCATGGGTTACGCGTGGTGTAAAGCTTGATTAAAAAGTTGAGCTTTGCTAAACCGGCCCAGTAGGCCTACACGCGTGTATCTGTGAGTGCTTGTGTATGTGCTAAAACGCATGTGCTCGCTTGCGTGGAGTCGTGACGCAACGCGTTAGGCCTCACAACCAACATCAGGCTGCAGTCCCGTCTTAAGGCCTTCGCAGATGGGAGCAGGCTCGACAATATGTTTTGTTAGTCGTGCGTGCAGTTATTGTGTGCATATCTGTAGGCATGCTTCGTCGCTTGTTTGTTAGCGATTCGTTTGTGCTTAGCATACCATGCTTCGTTTGTTTTGCGTTGTTTTTCATTGCTGCTTGTTTCACTGCGCTTTGTTTCGTGCGCTTGTTTAATTTGTGTGTTCTTTAATTCTAGCCTTGTTTAGCCCCCTTTTTTTGAATTACCCATTTGTTTAATTTTCCATTTTGTTTAAAATCCCATTTTGTTTAATTTTCCTGTTGTTTTATTTTCCTTTTGTTTTATTTTCCTTTTGTTTAATTATTATAGTTTTCGAACATTTTAACATGAAATTTTTTTTTTTTTTGCGTAGCTATTTTTGAACAACAAAATGTGTATTTTTGTTTTTTTTTTTTGGGTAGCTATATTTAAACAAATAAATATGTATTTTTTTTTTTTTTTTTTTTTTTTTTGGCTAGCTATTTTTAAACAAATAAATATGTATTTTTTTTTATTTTTTTATTTTTTTTGGCTAGCTATTTTTAAACAAATAAATGTGTATTTTTTTGTTTTTTTTCCATTAACTTTGAAGTGTACATAGCCGTTGCGTATATGTACATGTTGTAAAAATTAAGATTGTCTGTCTTTTTTTTTTTTTTTAACATATGTAACTTCCCCATTCTGTCTTTTTGTTTTATTATTTTCTTGTCAATTTTTAATGCATGTGCTTTTTTTAAAAATTGCATCAAACCGTGTAATATGAAAGCGCGTGCTTGTGAATTCATACGAGTGTAAGTTCCTGTAGAGAACGTTGCATATGTGCGCCTGTCGTTTCAACCCCTCGTGCCCCCTTGAGGAAATCAGTCTACACAGACAATTGACTCAGGGAATAATTGCATTTATGCAACGTTGTCTAATATAGGAGAATACACGTGTGAATCACTATGTTTTAAAATTACATTAACTTTTTTTTTTTTTTTTTTTAAGTTAAACGTATTTTTTTGGACAATTTTGCACAAAGCTGGAGTTATGTTTTTTCAATTTTTTTTTTTTTTTTTTTTTTCCTTCCCCCTCTAGGCGGTTAAGTCGCGTTCGTGTGTTTGGTGTTTAACGTTGTTCGTGTGTTTGGCTTTTACGTCGTTCGTATTTTTATTTTTTTTGTTATCCGTTTGGTACACTTGGCGATTCTACTTTCCCCCCTCCCCTTTTTTTTTTTTTTTTTTTTTTTTGTTCCCTCACTTGGGGGTTACATCCCCTCTACTTTTTCCCCTCGCGTCTGTGTAACCAATGGTGTCGCCAATGTTCTCCCTAAGAAGTAGTTCTAACAGTAGCCGGAAACAACCCAGTGTGGTGGATGGAAAAGGAACGAAACCCACCAGCGGAAAGGAGGGGACTGAACAGGAGGAAGATGACCAAGTAAAGAATTTGTACAATGAAAATTCATTAACGAACGTAGAAAGTTACTTGAATTATGCACAGCAAGAGGTACAAGTTTATCCAATCAGCAGAACTACCACCCCACATCAAATCAACATTGGAAGCATGGAAAGTGTACATCAGGATGATGGGACCTTTAATCCTATTGAGAAATCTTCAACACTGTTATCTCATGGTGAGGAGGAGCAATGCAAACTTATAAACGAGAATGACGATGGGAATGAGGACGGGGTGGTGAGGAGACAGACCAGAAGTGTCAACAGTAATAAGTACCCTCTTAGTTGTGATCAGAGGGACGAAGCGGAGATTGCGTTCGATTCCGGAGTTACAGAATCGGGTCTAAATGAAAAGAGACAGAAGTATCCAAGGAACGAGGCCCTACAGGGTGTGTCCGCTCCACAGGATGGTAGCGGCAGTTTGAGGAATAATGTTAGCCACGGTAGTGGTGACCGTGAGGATAGGGAGCAGTGTGCCCCTAATTGTGAAAAGGAGGGACTCGCTGAGGGAAGGGCGATCGAGGAAGAATGTGAGGAGGAAGAGCAGGTCGAAGTGGATGCCGAGGCGGATGTCGAAGCGGACGAGGCTGAAGACGAAGACGAACTGGGCATGTCGCCCCTCGAGCAGAATAATAGAGTGGAGGCAGTAAATGCACGGTCGTATTTAGAAGAGCCACGCGTCCATAACGGAACGGCGGCCTCATACGACGAAGGGAAACCACACGATGGCGAGTCCAATTTGGGTGAGGACAGTGGAGACGCCTACCAAGGTAGGAACGAAATGTGCAAGGATGAAGAATTGAAGGAAAGGTTCGAAGAGTCGTTAATCAGTGACAGCTGTGTATACAGCAAAGATGAGGAAGGGAAGTCAGAGCATTCCCTTTTTAAGGAAGAACATGAAATGGATAATCACCTTGATGATAAATTTAACGATGAGGTGCAATTGAAAAACGAAATGCAAATGAAGAATGAGAAAAGTGAAGGAAACAGTAACGAGCATTTTAAAAATTCATTAATAAAAGATATGTTAATGCAGAAGGAGAGTGCTACTGAACATTCTTCTCCCCCCATTGACCAGAATAAGACACTTGCCCTTATAGATAACCTCCTTAGTATTAAAGGGGAGGAGGGGGTGAACAATCAGTTTGAGAAATTATTTGCAGAGGAGAGCAGAGACGTGGTTAGCAATGGCTATGTCGCTGTGCCCATTGCGAATGAATCCACGGCGTGTGGAAACCCATGTGGAGGGGTCGCTGTAGCAAGGGGCATGCAGACATATGTGAATGTTGCTGTTACCGGTGCTGCTACTGCTGTTGGGAAGAGTGGCTGCATGAGCCATAGGGAAACCCCTGTTAATGTGTGCGTAGGGAATAGCGCCGTGGGAAACAACCTCGTTGGCAATAACCTCATGGGAGGAACACTCGTTGGAAGTAACATGGTTGGAAGTAGTAATATGGTCGGAAGTAATATGGTTGCATGTACCTCCTATGACAACCATGGTAGCGGAGGAATACACGATGGCTACGCCATGGCCAGTAAGGAAGCCCTAAATAAAAGTGAAAGTATAAGGAAGTCCAAAATAATCTGCCTGAGCTATCTACGTATATTGAAACGATTAACCTCCATCTGGAGTGAAACGAACAAATCCTTCGAATACCATTTTGTGAATATTCTGAACAATGTTGACATGAACAACTTGGATCTATACCTCTGCTGTTTTTCAAATATAAAAGTATCTGCAGCGAAAAGTTTGTTTCTTGAATCGATTGTGGAATGCATTGAAGAGCTGGAAATTATAAAGAAGTTAAAAAGCGTTCAGGGAAAGGAGGAGAGCAATATATATGACACAAGTACTTCCTTTAGTTCTTCTTCCTCCAGTGGAAACAAAAATGGGAAGAGTGAAATGTTAAAACAAATCATGGATGAAGTGGAGAATAATTTGTCTAAAGAAATTGTCGACGAGATGCATGACTTGTCCTTGAGAAATCCCTACTTTAGCAGCACCTACCATGGGAACAACAGTGTGAGTAATGTTATATCATCCGTGTCTCCTCATGTGGCGGATGGAGAGGCTAGCGTACTGTCCCTCTACAGCTGTGGGCATAAGAAGGTTGGTGGTAACCACAACGTGTGTAACGGTTCGAGTGGAAACGTCGATTTGAAAAGGGAGAAGGATTTCCTAACTTGCGGAGGTAGTAGGAGTCAGTGCGGTGTGTCGGCTGCCTGTGCAGGTGGAGCAACCACCGGTGCTGTCGGAACAACTTCTTCCGGGGGGGGAAGCTTCCCCAGTTACGCGTGCAACTCGCATGGCAACCACTTCGCCTGCTCCAGCGCTCACCCATTGAACTGCTCCATTGGGCACATGCACAACAACTGCATAGGTACCAGCACAACAAGCATAAACGGTAACAATAAGGTAAACCCACTGAGCAATAACTACAGCACAAATATGATGGGCTTGGTTGGAAATAATAACCCTCTAAGTTATAGTAACAGCTTCGCTGCCACTTCCAACTCGAGCAAGAAGAAATGCAGCTACTCGGATGAAAATATTTTGAACAAATTAAACGTCAGCATAGACTATAACTCGTACAACGACTACAGCAACAATTATATTCAGGAGGCCGAGAAGGTAGTGGAAAAATATAAGAATTTGAGTAAGCTCAATTCGAAGGAGAGTGAAAATATGTATAGTACGTGCAGCCAGTCTACTGTGCAGGACGTGGGTAATGCTAATGTGAATGCCTATTTGCACTTTAAATCATTTTTGGCGGAGTATGCGAATATGCACAAGGGAGGTGATGCAGAGAACAACAAGTTGAAGGACGTAGACTTGACCCCCAGTGACTTGAGCTTTTTGCGCTATCTCTGCGCGCATCTATGCGGATCCGGCGGATGGGAGGTATATATTTTTTTTTTTGCATTCATGTAGTGTGCACAGAATAAAGACGTTTTTGTGCAAATTTGCACACCCATGTGTTAGGTAGTAACTGTGATTCATTCTTGTGACGCACGTGCACTCATTTTTTTTTTGTTTCATCCCCTTCTTCCTCATCCTGCAGGATAATGGACCCAACGATGTATACTGTCATGAGAAGGACATGAAGGATGTGAAGAGCTTCTACGACAAGCTGAAGCTGGACTCAAGCAGCAATAACGACATGGACAAATTTTTACAAGAGTACAAACTTAGTGAGGAGGACAACTTTGATGAGAAGGAGTACTATAGCAAATACGGACGAAGTGGAAACAAAGGAGGCATTCTAAACGGATGTGATAATAATACGAATTGTTCATCGAACACTTTCCAGAACATACTGAGGAAGAGAAAGTTGAGGGACACGTCTCCTGCGCACCACCATCACAATCATCACCCTATGCAGAAATGCAATGGAACGGGTGTAGGTGGGAATGCAAGCGGGGTCACTGATCTGAATGGAAACGGTGGAGGTGGAGTGAACGCGAACGGAGCGGGTCTGGGGGGCTATGACTTGAACTACCTCCTGTGCAATACGAATTTGTTGAAGAAGTTGAAGTTTAATTTGTTAGAGGAAAAGAAGGGTGCACATGTGAGCGGCCTTGGCGGTAGCGGAGGAGAAGCCAGCTTGCTTGGAGTGATCGACTTGTTGAAGAAGGACTCCAACGAGTACTCCGTGGACGAAAACAGCGGCCCGCACATGAATACGAGAAAAAGCTTCGCTAACAAGAATAACGCCATGAATAATGTGAAAAACTACAAGGAAATTTTGAACCTGTCGCAGGAAATTTTTAGCAAGAAGAGAGCCACTGGAGGAGGTGCAACCGGATCGACCTCAACGTACAAAAATGGAAACGACCGCGATAGAGATCGCGACTCTGACATGTTCCACCACAACCATCACTACCCCTCCCTGAATCATCCATCTCTCCCACATCACCACATAAACCCTACCGCATTGTATGACTTTATAATGAACACAAATAATGGCACCAGCGGATTTTTGGAAAATTCCCTGCACCAATCCAGAAGCCTCCTTATGAAAAGCCAAAATGGAAACAATAGAAATGACAGTAGTAACCTGCATGAGAATGGAAAGGGGAACCAGAGTAACAACAGTGGTAATAACAATAATGGCACCATGAATATGAACGGAGGATACAATGTGAATGGAAGTGCCACGAGTAATGCGACTCCGAGCGGGTTGCAGAAGAAGAGGAGTTACGATTTCAGTGCCGATTATAATTCCAAGATGAGTGCCAATGACTCGGAGTTGTCACTAAGTAATAATGATAATAGTAGTGAGCTCCTTTTGAGTAGTGGCAAAATGGACGGTGGGGGTTCTTGTGGGGCTGGTGGTTTGAGCAGTGCTGTGACTGCAGGTGGGGCACACGGAAGTATGAGCCCTTACAAACATAGCAAGAGTGAAAATGGAAAGGGAGTTGGAATGAATAACTCTTCAAGTGGTGGAAATAAAAATATAAAAAATATGAAAAGCTCTTCTACCATGACGTCCGTCCCATCAACAACTTATGGCATTGGGGGCAAGTTGAAGTATGAAATGCCTGTAGGTGTAAATCCAAATGATGATAAAGTGAAGGGAGTTTATTTTTCCAAATCTCCTAGAGGAGTTGGTAAATGGAATGCTTATTTTCAAATAGCCAATAATAAGAGGCTCTTTACCAGCTTTAGTGTAAGCAAGTACGGATATAACGAAGCCAGAAAATTGTCCATACTGAAGAGAACCGAGTGGGAAAAGGAGTATAGGCACCACACCGATATGAAGAACGCAGATTTGAAAAAGGGGAAGAAGAAGTCCAGTCATCAGCAGCAGGAGCAGCACACACAGCAACAGACGCAGCAGTCGCAGCAGCAACACCAGCATGGTGTTAATGGTAGCCTCGTAAAGAGTAGTGCTAAAAATGTATCAAGGGGAAATAATAACCATTCGGTAAATTCCAACAGCGAAGAGTCCATATCGTATGGGAAGGAAAATAGACTCCATGAGGATAGCAGTTTAATGTACTCGAATGATGATGAGGAGGGCTGCTTGATTGGCAACAAACTGGCTGTAGATATTTCGAGCGAGTTGAATGATGTGAACGATTTTAACGATTCGCATATTTTAACTGGTGGGGGTGGAAGGAAAGTGAACAAGTTAAACATGTCCGCCAGTGGGAATAATGGTAACGGGGCAGGAGTAGGTTGTGTTGCTAGTTCTGGTATGACGCCAGGAGAATGCATCAAGGAGGACGACAATATAGACTTCTTCATCGAGTGTACGAAAAACGATAACGACGCGTTTAACTCCATGGATCTTCTGCGTTCAAGTTTGAATGGCGGGGCGGCAGATGACAGTAATGATAATGGGGATGGGAGAAGCGCCCTCAACGGGAATGGAGCAAATTTTTCCCTAAATTCGCCCGCGGACTCCTATGGCAGCGGGGCAGAAAATAACAGCGGCAACGGCAAGCAGTCCATGAACTCCTCCAGGGGAATGTCCAACTCGATTGGGTTGCCCAACAAGTACATCCGCAATTTGGAATTTCCCACAATCGACTCCCACACGGTGAGCAACTTTTTGGAGGCCGTCACGGACGAGCAGAAAATTTCTTCCTAGAGTGAGGAAGAGGCAAGAGTGACATGCCGCAGGGCATATGTGTGTATTTTACATCCTCTTCTACGTTTACATATTCGTAGATTTTTTTTTTTTTTTTTTT